CTCACAGTGAGCCTGCAAGGTGGGTTTTCTATTTCCAGATGAGGGAACTGTGGCTCAGAGGGAGAGTTCAGCTCATCAAATGGTGGGGATGTGATCTGTGATCTGCGGTCTAAACCCCACACTGTCGACTCCATCTGTCTGCTTTCATCCACTACCTCGAAACCTCTAAAACGAGGATTCCCAGTGAGCCTCCACCCAGTGGACACAGCACCCAGACCCCAAGGCAGGAAGGAGGTGGACCTCATAGAATGGGTAGGATTTCCACAAGTGGCAGTAGGATTGGCGGAAAAGTATTCCAGGCAGAGAGAACTTGTAAGCAAAGACTTAAGGTTTCTGCCTTCTCTACCCCCCACTTCTTGCAGCTGTCTGACTCACGGACCTGTTTCTCTTCTTAGCACTTGGCTTATGCCTAGATCCATGCTCCTGCGCCCTACACACTCACACACACACTTCTACACACACACACACACACTGTGAACATCAACCATGTCTCAGATATAATCATTCCATTTAATCTTAACAACAGTGCTCCTCCCTGGCCTTCACCTTGTCCCTGGGCTGAGTCACTGAGCCCAAGCCATGCCACTTGCCCCTCTAACATGTGGCCCACATGTATTCCCCTCTTATGCCCTGCTAGCCTTCTGGGGCCGCCACTATCTCCTCCGGAAACTCAGGGGCTGTTTGTTGCCTGAATCTTGACTCAGCTTTCCATGCCCCTGGTCCTGTCCCTCTGACTCACTTGTGAGTCCGTCTGCTGCTACAGTTGCCCCGTCTCCCGGCACCGGCCCACTTCAGTGAGTGGTCTTTGCAGGATGGAGCTTCTTCCTTTTGTGTGCGCTCCATGTGGCTTCCGGGAAGCAGCAGATCTCTCAGCCGAGTCTGGGGCAAGGACTGAAGGGGGTGGCAGAGGGAGCAGAGGGTATCCATCTTGGGAGCTGGGGGGCATCTTTTCCTGGGAGTGGAGCTTTGCCTGGGATAGCAGAAGAGAGGTAAGGATGAGAGATTAGGATTAGCGGTAATTTACAATTTTTAAGTATGAAGACCTCATAGGAGAAGTGCTTTACCTTTAGTAACTATTGTCTGAGAAGAAAAGTAGTGACAAAGTCTTACAAGGAATTCAGAAACAGTTTGAGATAAATTTAAATTTCATTAATTTCATCAACTTGCCCTTTGTACCACTGATTTGTTGGAGCTTAAGATAAGAACACCAATGTCTTTATAGACCCTTTGCAATGACTCCAAGGTCTCTTGGGCACAGTAGTCAATGGAATTGCTGACATGGACTAAAATAGGACTTCAGTTATTGTGAAATGAATTTGAAGGCACCCCCAGGGAGATGTGGAGTCACATGGGTGAAGCCCCTCAGGACTTCAAGTCTGGGAGAACACAAAGGGGAAGCAGAGGAGGGGCAGTGGGAACTGCAGCCACGTCTCAAGCGATTTCTTTGACTGTATTTTTAGTCTCCCTGTCCGAGAGTCAGGTGCCTGGCTGTAACCTTTTGCTCACATGTCCCCCAAACAGGAAGTTGGCTGTCTGTTGTCATTATCTGTCATCTCTCAGCTCTAACAAACAAGCTCATGTGTCACCAGGACAGGCTGAGACAGAAAATTTACCCTGATGTCTTGAATAATCTTGAATGTGAAGAAGTAAAAAAATATTTAAAAGAAAACGAGTTCTTGTTCCTCTGATCGGCAGTTTCCCAGCCATTGGTCAGGATCATGGGAGGCTGCCCCACACCCCTCACACTCAGAAAGTGTTGATTGAAGCATATTTGGGGGGAACCTGCACTACTTGTCAAATAAAATATGTTTGTTAAAAAGTGCAATTTATTTGGTAAATGAAATAACGAATGGGAAAGTGTCTAGCACAGACTTTGGTACACACACGGCAGATGAATGGATCGATTGACAGTTTCTGAGTGGAGAGAGCCAAGTTTCAGTGTTTCTAACATTGAATGGATCTATGTTGCTAACAGACGTGAGCTCCGGTACTTGCCTTGGTTTTCCTCTGTGGTTTCCTTCTTTGCTCATCAATAGTCATCGAGCAGGGATAGGAATGGCATCTTGTCAGCCATTCCTTCCTGTGTGCAGGCAGATCAGTTCATCTGAGCTATTAGATGAAGTGAGCAAATGACGTTTGGCGTCTGCCAAGCCCTTGTCCCCCACACGCATTATTTGACTGGTGCAGCTTGAAGTAATGTAAAAACATGAATTTTTGGAATCAGAGAAGACTAGTTCAAATTTTAGCACTATCTCTTATTAGCTATAAGTCTCTGAGGAAATCACTTCTTTGAATCTCATTTCGTCATATATAAAACAGGAATGATAATAAATATCTACTTTGTGGTGTTGTTGGGATGATCCAGTAACTCTTATAGTTAGTATAAGGAGTCTGACATACAGTTGGTGCTCTTTTACTTTGTACATTTTATTTTATTTTCTCATTGTTTAAAGTCACAAGAGCGTTTATTTTATTTTATGTATTTTTTCCTGATTTTAAAATGTTCATGTTCAGTATAGAAACGATCTATTTGGCAAAGTCAAAAAAGCCCAAATTAATATCTATAACCACTATTAGCATGTTATATGTTATCTTCTAGTATTTTCTCTATAAATGACAAACTGAATCTATTTTAAATAGATATTTCCTACACATAATTGGAGATGGTAGAAAGGGTAAGCAGTGAAAAGTAATTCTCCCTTTCTACCCTAACTCTGGCCACCAGCTCCCCTTCCCAGAGGCAACCACGCTTACTAGGTCTTAAGTGGTCTCCCAGAGATAGCCTACTTATCTAGAAATATCTGTATAATTTTCCTCTCATCTTCCACTCATGCAAACGCTAGCATGGGGGATGTGGTGTTTTGCACTGGAGGCCACCATTTAAGTGAGTTTCCTTTCAGCTCTCGTAGATGTCTCTGTGGATACAGCCAGATGGGACTCCTGTGTCAGGTTCTCAGGCTCAACCCTCTTGGTCTCGGTTGTATATTTTTACTCTCTGAACTGAAAATCTGCAAACAACTAAACAGGTGTTAGAATTCTCAGGCTCAACTGTTGCCACAGTTGCTCATGCGAGGAGCAGAGCTGCAGGCGGTTGGGGCCAGCACACAGGGCAGTCTGAGGCAGAATTCAGGCTTTCTCCAACTTTGCATTGACCCTCAGGGCAATGTTTTCTATCGCAGTGTGGTCTGACGTGAAAAGGTTATATTTTGCAATTGGGATTGATCTAAAAATTCAGGGACGTGTGTCCCCTAGGATGCTCTGGAGTGAAGGCCAGAGCCCAAGTCAACTTGGTTCACTCTAAGACCAGTTTTCCCCCCACTCCAGGCCCCACAGCCCCTCCTCCCCCAGCTCCTGTCACCCCTCCCTGATCAGGTCTGTCCCATCCATACTCTTCCCACCAGGCCCCCTCAGCCTCCCATTCCCCCTCCTTCCATTAATGGATCAACTCAAACACTGAGAACCTGACCCTATAAGGAGCCCAGTGGATAAGGAGGGGAGATGGGAGTTTGGACTTGTTCGAAGTTAAGCTCCAGAGAACAAATAATAAGAATGAGCTGATGCATTTGAGACACCTCATCTGTAAAATGGGTATTAAGTAATATAACGGATATGACAGGGCTTTGCCATCTGTAGAGTGCCATACAGGCCTAAGGGACTGGTATTCTTATGAGGATGATGATAATTTAAAAGTGGGACGTGGGAGCCAATTGGGAATTTTATAATACACATTAATTTTTTGATTACAGAAGTGATACTTATTCATTTTAGAGGACATATAAATAAATAAAAATGGAAAAAATTCTCATAGTCTTATTACAGAGTGTGGTACTTTGTATTATTTCTATAGTATATTCCCTGTCCATCCCATGGGTCCTGTTTCCATGGGAGAATTATTGTTCCCTCGATGACAAATTTTGCCACATAATTTACTCTGGCTGGTTGAGAGTGAATGGAAATGACACATGCCACCACTGAGAAGAAGCTTTCAACCACCTTTGTGTGGTTCCACGATCATTTTTCCCCTTTGGTCATGAGACCAGCATATCACAAGTAAGGGCTTTTCCACCCTCCTGGATCCTGGAATGAAAAGCCCCATGAAGGACATACAATGTGAGTGAGAGGGGAACATTTATTGTTGTAAGCCCCTGAGATTTGGGGATTATTCGCTACTGCAGCATAATTTGCCCTCACATACTTGATACACATAGAGACAGTAACAGCTAATATTTTGATCTATATCTCTTTAGTCTTTTTTCTCTTCCTATATTCTATATATTTTTTCTTTATAAAAATAGGATCATAATGTACAAATGACTGTGATTTTTCACGTCATCTGCAAATATTTCAGTGTACATCTCTAAAAGATAAGGATTCTTCAACATAACCGTGGTACCATTATCTCACCTAAAATGAATAATTGTTTCTTGTCACCAAATATTAGTCACTGTATACATTTTTCCAAGTTCAAAATATTTTTTGCTTAAATTAGGGATCCAAATAAGGTCCAAACTTTGCAATGGGTTGGTATGTCTCTTAAATCTCTTTTTATCTTCAGGTTCCCCCTCCCCTTCTTGCTTTCTCTCTTTCCCTCCTTATAATATATTTGTTGAAGAAACTGAATCAGTGGTTCTGTAGAGTTTCCCACGGTCTGGATTTTGCTGACTGTATTCCTATGGTGTCATTGAACTCATTTCCCTTTTCTCCACATTTCCTGTAAATTGGTGATTAAATCTAGAGGCTCGATCAGATTCAGTGAACAGATTTTTAAACTCAATACATTATGAACATTTTCCATGTCATTTAATATCCTTCTACAACATGCTTTTAAAGTAACTATCGAGCTATCAACTGTGTGAATGTATTATCATTTATTTAGCTAGTCCTCTATTGTTGGACATCTTGGTTGTTTCTAATTTTTTTGTGACTACACACAACTCACAGGTAAACCCTTGTGGACTAATCATTTCCTGGTCTGCTTTGCCACCTTTCTGTTCTGCTAGTTCCTGAGGATGGTGGATGCCTGCGCCAGCTTCCTCACTGAAGCCTTGAACCCGGAAAATTGTGTTGGAATACTAAGGCTGGCAGACACACACTCTCTGGACAGTCTAAAGAAGCAAGTTCAAAGCTACATCATTCAAAATTTTGTGCAGATTCTGAACTCCGAGGAGTTCCTTGAACTTCCTGTGGACACTCTGTACCACATCTTGAAGAGTGACGACCTTTATGTGACTGAGGAGGCTCAGGTGTTTGAGACTGTGATGAGCTGGGTCCGACACAAACAGTCTGAGCGACTCTGCCTGCTCCCCTACATCCTTGAGAACGTGCGCTTGCCGCTGCTGGACCCGTGGTACTTCGTGGAGACGGTTGAAGCAGATCCTCTCATCAGGCAGTGCCCAGAGGTTTTCCCGCTGCTCCAGGAAGCCAGGATGTACCACCTGTCTGGCAATGAGGTGAGCTGAAGATGGGGGAGGCTGTATTTAACCAGAGGAGTAAGGAGTTAGCCAGGGACTCACAGAGATATAGGAGAAGCTGATTCACAAACCCTCAGGGCATTAAGTAGAAGATGCTGCACTGTCCATAGCTTGCGTCAGGCAGTTCCAGAAGCCACAGATTCCTGATCTGTAAAATGAGAATGATACTACACTTTCAGACAGCTATTGAGAGGATTAGGTGACATGGAAATCACCATCCCAGCACCATGCGTGGCATGTCCTTCCTCTTCCTAGTTGTGCAAAGGCAGGAGGTTGGTGGGGAGGTGGAAGGCACAAATAAACAGGAATATGCCCTATTCAGTTGCCATTCCATGGGGCTGCTGCTCGTCCTAGACCACTCTGGGGAAACCTGTATCTTTTGGATACCTTATTTCAGACTGTCATCATCTCCTCCCTGAATTTTTGGAAATTTCTCCAAACTCATCCCCCTGCCTCCAGCCTGGCCTCCCTCCAATTTCTCCAACAGCTGGATGATCTAAACCTCAAGTCTTGTTGTCTTGCTCCTGGGCTTACCTTCTTCACTGGCTCCCTACCGCTGGCAGGATAAAGCCCACACTTCCTGTCTGAGCCCCAGAGCCTGGTCGCGCGTAGTTTACCTCCTCCCACTTCCCTGGCATCATCTGCCGTAGTCCTAACACACTGCTTGTAGCTCCCCAGAGTGTATGTGCTTTTTCAGCCTCCAGGCCAACGCGGGTGTTGTTCAACTGCTTTTCTCCTCTTCTTTAGGTAGTTTCTACTTCGAAACTGAGCTCAAGCATCACCTTCTCCAGGGGCCTCTCTGTGTTCTTGCAACACTTGGTGCACTGCTCTGTCAAAGCACCACCTGTTTCATGGTAACCATTGAGTTTATCATCTGTAAATATCTCTAGCCTGGGAGCTTGTTATAGTATGACATAGGTCTTATTGGATTTTTTATCTCCAGATCTTAAGAGAGAGTCCCTGATTTATAGTGAGTAAATAATTGGCAAATGTTTCTTGAATGATTAAATGAGCACCAGGATGGTGAATACAAATATCATTTGGATCTACCTGGTTCTCCTTAACAATCCCTGCAAGAATTTTTTTATTCAAAACTTTATAAGTTCTTAGTGGAGAGGAACAAACCATCAGGAGGTAACGACACAGGGACACTTCGTTAACAGTTGGTGCACATATAGATCACTGTACAATGGTTATGGGATTAGCTACCAAGCCCTCTTCATTGGGCCATTGGTAGAAACTTCATCTGTCTGAGGCTCCTCTGGAGCCTCTTCCTTTTTCTCTATGTTCTTTTCTAGTGCTTTGCTGTCCTTAGAGCCACTGTTCATTCATTCACTCTGCAAACATGTCCTTAAATATCTGGTAGAACTTACCAGAGCCTGGCGTTTTCTTTGTGAGAAAGTTTTTAACTACAATTTATATTTCTTTAGTAGATATAGGACTATCCAGGTTGTCTATTTCTTCTAGAATGAATTTAGGTAGTTTGTGTCTTTTGAAGAATTTTTCTATTTCATATATGTTGCTGAATTTACTGGCATGAAATTGTTCACAGTATTCCCTTATTATCCTTTTAATACCTGTAGAATCTGTAGTGATGTCACATCTCTCATTCCAGATATTGGTAATTTATGTCTCCCTTTTTTCCCTAATCAGTTTGGTTAGAGGTTTATCAATTTTATAACTAGCTTCTGGTTTCACTTGCTTTTCCCTATTGTTTTTCTGTTGTATATTTTATTTATTTCCATTCTGATCTTAATTATTTTCATTCTGCTTACTTTGGGTTTCATATACTGTTCTTGTTCTAGTTTCTTAAGGTAGAAGTTGAGCTCATTGATTTGAGACCTTTCTTTCTTTCTAATGTAGGCTTTAGTGCTATAAATTTCCCCCTAAGAACTACTTCAACAGCATTTCATATCTTTGAATATACTAGGCTTTCATTTTTTGCAAATAAATCCTGAACACCAACTATATGCTGGATGTGGCACCAGGTACTGCAAAAACAGTCTCTGCCTTACTAAACTTTTGGTCTGTCAGAGAAGATGGGACTTTAGCAAATGAAGGATGATGAGTGGATTGATGGGGTAGCCCAGGCAAGCACATGGGTCTTATCCCATGCTGGATATATGGGTGCCAGGCAGACGGCTCAGCACTGCATATCAGAGCCTGCATACCATTCAGCCAGGTCTCAGTCTCTGCAACGGCTCTCAGTTCAGCCTTTAAGGTACAGTCTTGATCAATGGTATTTCTGACATTTCAGCTATTTTTATTTCTGCTTCCTATTTTCTAAGTTCATGAAATGCAGGTGATAAAAGCTTTCCTCTAATATAAAATGTCCCTACCTTGTTTTCTGCAAAATTGCTGCAATAAAATATAGTCATGGACTTTTGTATTTGCAAGGTGCTGGGGGTGGGATGGGGAAATATAAACTTTGTCTGTAGAAGGAGAGAGAATTCTGCTACCTGGAAAATTCTCCAGTGGTGGGAACCTAGGTTTGCAGACAGGCAGATCTGGGTTTTATTCTTGATTGCACAATTTATTGGCAGTGTAAGCTTGGGCAAGTTACTTAGCTACTCTAAGGCTCAGTCCTGATCTGCAACATGGGGTAATTATACCTGTCAACTGGTAGAACTGTTTTGAGAATTAAATAAGATAATGAATGGAATGTGCTTAGTACAGTGTCTGGTACATGGTAGGTGCCCACAAACAGAAGCTCTTGTTATTCCCACTCAGTTCCTTCATGGTTGCTCTATCTCCTGCAATCAAGCATTTTCTTCCTCTGGGGCTAAAATATCTCTTTTCACTGTGTCCTAGGATTTTGCAGACAAATTTTCCCAAACCCTGCTCAAAGCACTTTCTTATTTTCATTTTACAGTCTGGGCAGCTGAACTAACTAACGACCATGTTCTCTGAATTGGGGTCTCATTGGCAGTTGATTCCCTGAAACTCCAGTCTGCCTCCTGCTAGAATGATCTTGAGTTTCTTCCTGATGACAGTAGTGTGAGCCTGGAGGCTACTCTGTGAACACAATTCCCCCCTTAACCTTCATTTCCCAAACTTGAACCCTTCTTGTCCTATCATCATCTCTCCCTTTTAACCTCGTCCATCCTCTAAGCTGGTGGTGACAGTAGGAAACTTTAGAACCCTAAAAGCAAACATCAATCTACATTCAATTTAGGAGTGCTAGCTGGAAGCTTCATTGGAAGAGGTCTTTGGGGGCAGAGGAGAGTTGCCCCTTCATTTCATTGCCTCCTAAGTTTCCAGGGACCAACTTTGTCTGTACCAAAGTTGCTCTGACACATGTGGTGTGGGAAGAGTGGGGGCAGAGGCTCCACCCCGGAGGAACAGCTCTGTTGAACAATATGGTCACTTCTGTTTGGTCCCTTAGCATAGGCTCTAGGGACAATGAGAAGTCAGTAAGGTACAACTGTCTGCTCTATTTTTAACAATCTGAAAACAAACTGGTTAGGCCTGATTGTTGCATGCAATTTATTGGCAAACACTTCTATATATCTACAACAAACTTGCGCATCTCAGAATTCAGATTGGCATTTGTCGTGACTTTCAGGTTAATATTTTATCAAATGTAGCTGGACTTAAAATTTGGTAATGGTGCCACCCCTTGGCAGTTCTGTGGTGCTGAGTTACAAGGCAGGCCTCAGTACACCAGCTAATCCCATCAGCTAGATGACTGTATTAGTTATCTATTGCTGTGTAACAAATTACCCCAAACTTAATAGTTTTAAATAATAAACATTTACTAGTTCATAGTTTCTGAGCATTAGGAATCTAGGACTGGTTTAGCTGAGTGATTCTGGGTCTCTCATGGGGTTGCAGTCAAGCTGTTGCCTGGGGCTGCACTAATCTCAAAGTTTAAATGGGGTTGAAGAATGCACTTCCAAATTCTCTCACTGGTTTGTTGCAGGCATCAGTTCCTTGCTGGCTATTGGCTGGAGGCCTCAGTTTCTTGCTGCATGGGCATCACCATAGCAGCTGGCTTCCCCCAGAACAAATGATCTAAGAAAGACTGAAAAAGCAATCAAGACGGAAGCTGTGGTGCCCTTTATAGCCTGATTTCAGAAGTGATATATCATTACTTCTGCTGTACTCCATTGGTCATACAGACCAGTTCTGGAACAATGTGGAAGAAACTACACGAGGCAGGGATCACTGGGGCCATCGTGCAGTGATTTAGACTGGGAAAAAAATCTGTGCCAGGGTCCTGAGTTATTGAGCTTGCCTGTTCGTTTATTCATTCATTCATTCACTCATTCAATCAGTGTTTACAGAAGCCCACAAGCTCCACGCACTGTTCTTGGTGCTGAGGATCTATTGGAGAAAAAGGGCTGTTCCTGCCACCAGAGACCTTATAGTAAATTATAATGGAGTGTGAAAAGTGTTGTGGTAATTTGGAGTTATGGGAACATATGTGCAAAGTCAGAAATGGCTTCCTAGAGAAAGGGACAAAATGACATTGCAAATAATTCATAGTGCCTTAAAGGGTAAGCAGATTGGGGAGGTGGCATGGGAAATTGAGAACAGATATTATGGAGAGATCCAGGCAGGAGCCCAGGAATTTCAGTTCATAGGAGTAGAGCCTTTCACAGGCCAGGACCAAAGAGCAAGATTCCAGCCCTGGAAGTCAGGAGGTGAGGTCGTGGCTAGTCCAGCCACCCTGTTAGCCTCCTGCCACCCAGCAGGTAACTGAGGCAGGAGAGTAGGCATTGTGAACAAGATGGGGGGCCTCAGAGTGCAGGCTGAGGCCTGCTTCTCAAAACCGAAGTAAGGGCCACAATGGAACCAATTCTGGGAGGCTAGTGCATTTTTTAAGCATTGCCCTGCCATACCTAAAACCCCTCTGAAACGGGACCAGATTGGTGCCGGAGGTTGTGCCTGGGAAAGTGAGGTTTAGGGACAGGACCCAGGGATGATACCTCAGATCCTGTCCTGCCAGCTTGGTGCTCTCACAGTGCCTCCAATTCCCTGGCCCACCTTTCCCACCCTTCCCCCAGCCACCTTCCTGCTGTCAGTGCCCTCAGGCTCAGCCCATTCCCCAGGCTTTGTCTTGCCACACCGTCCCCAATCCTTTCTACTGATCCACAGAGACAGCCCGGCTGCAAACTTTATGGCCATGTTCACCCTCAAGAATTAAGGATGCAGAATTTACCATATTGGGCTCTTTGGCACAGAAAAACAAACAAAGACTCTTATGGAAAAGTAGAGGCTGGGTGTTGACTAGTCTGATTATCTGTGGCCATTGCTTGTATTCACCACTTGAGGGCTCAGCCTTTGCTACTTTAACCTGTTTGTCACCACTTATGGGCAAAATCAAAGTTCCATAGTCTGTGTTAGATCAGCCTAACTTTGTAGGGAAAAGTGGCTGCTTCAGCCATCTGGGAAACAGATGCTACCTCTCTGTCTCCCATGGGCACACCTGCAGGACCTTCCGCAGCGAGCCCAGGGGATTGCTGGAACCAGGAGGAGGGCAGCCCTTCCTTTTCTAGCGCTATCGGTGTGGCATCTGCTACCACTCCTGCAGACACAACCATCTCTGGAGGGCTGTGTCTGTGGTGGCTGCTCTCGTCCCTGTACCTCATGACCTCACGAGTGCTCGCAATGACCTGATAGCATAGAAATGATTACAAGCATTTTACAGAGGCTGCGTCGCTTCTCCAAGATCACATGGCCACAGGTGATGGAACTCCGGGGGATTTGACTTCCAAACCTCTGACTGTGGTGAGGATGTCTTTACTTGTTCAAGGCTCTGAACGGTCATATACTTGATGTTGGGATCAGGTCCCCAACCTCCCTGGCCATACCCTGATCTCTCCTGGTTCTTTTTTCCTAAGGCTCTGAATGCTCTTACGTGGTCACTGTCTAGGACTTCTCTTCCAGAAGGCTGGTGGCAAGAAAAGTCTGAGACATCATTGAGAAATTGAAACCAAGGGGGAATGGGAAGTAGCCAGAAATGAAATTCCAGAATTTAAGGTTTCAGACCAGGCAGGATGGGAGAGGCAGGAAGCACATTTGATGGTAAATAGACCCTGACTTCTTAAAATAGCAACAAAAAGAGGTAATATTTATTGAATGTCTGTTACGCGCCAGGCCCTGGGTTAAGCACACTTCGTATATGATACCATTTGATCCTCACAATAACCTATGGGTAGTTTCCACTAAAACCTCGTTATACGGATGATGAAGCTGAGGCTGAAGGAGGCGAAGTCATGTGGTCATACAGTGGCAGATTTGGGAATTGGGCCCTGCTCTGACGACTCCATAGCCTGAGCTCTGAACCTCTGTGTTATCCTGCCTTTACGTACTCCCATTGGTTTCCAGATCATTTCGGAGCGCACCAAGCCCAGGATGCATGAGTTCCAGTCTGAGGTGTTCATGATCATCGGTGGCTGCACGAAAGATGAACGGTTTGTGGCAGAGGTGACCTGCCTGGACCCCCTGAGGCGCAGCCGTCTGGAGGTGGCCAAGCTCCCGCTGACAGAGCATGAGCTGGAGAGTGAGAATAAGAAATGGGTGGAGTTTGCATGCGTGACATTAAAAAATGAGGTGTACATCTCAGGTAAGCAGGAGCCAGGGGAAGCTGAAGCAAGCTCCCAATAGCATTACGTGTGTTCCCAGGTGAGAGCCAGGCAGCCATCCCAGAGCAACTACCGTGAACTGGCAGTGACCTAGCTCTTACTTGGTCAGGATATGGAACCAGGCGCTCAGGGGATTTTATCTTGGAGAGCACATGGTTACTTAATAAATACTAAGCTCTGAGCAGCATTGTACTGAAATCTGAGGGAGCAGGCAGACATGGAAAAGGAAGAAGGAAAGTGATATCAGTGTTTATACACTGTCTGCTGTAGGCACAGGGCACAGAGCGAGGCACTGGGGCACAGTAATGAATAAAAACGTCTGCTCTTTCCTCAAACCTGAACCCCCTTAAGTTTATTAGGTCGTACTTTGATATACTTCAGCAGCACCCGATACTTTTGCATTGCTAACCTGTTTGCTTACCTATTTACAATTACTCTTTCCCGTTAGACCTCAAGTTCTAGGAGAATCAACACTATATCCCAAGTACCTAGCACTGTGCCTGACCTCACAGTAAATGCTCAATCAATATTAATATTTACTGAATGACATAGTCGCCACCATATTTACTGTATGGCAGATGAATTTATACTTTAATAACATTTAGTTGTTTGCTTCTCACATAAACTCTATATGGTAGGCATTTTAAGGTAGGAGAAAACCAAGGCTCAGAGAAGTTCTAGGACATACCTCAGGTCACACACTGTTAAGGCAGGACTTCAACCCAGGTTCTGAGTCCAATACATGCTCTCTCCGTCACATCAAAAGCCACCTGCCTCTTCTGGGGACCCTAAGGGGGGAGACAAGCATTCCTTCCCTTCTCTTAGAGGCTTTTCTGTGATCTAAACTTGTTTTGGGGAGAGCTGCTTTCCAGAGCTGGGTCCCTCCAAAATCACGGACAGGTTGGTTCTTCTTTGGATATATTCATACCGTTGATTAGGTTATAGCTTTCTTTTATGGTGTAGAGATTTTTTTTAGTATTGTAGAAGATTCAAACAATACAGAGCATATAAAGTAAAATATGGCAGTTTCTCTGTGCCATTATTCTGTGGCTTTTAATTTTTTACAAAAATTTTTTATATTAGCGCAAGTAACGTTAGCTGCTGCAACAAATCCTAAGTCTCAGTGAATTTACACAATAATGTGCAAGAGTGGTGGGGTGGAGGATGGATCTGCTCTGCTCAGGCATTCAGGGACCTAAGCTCCTGCCATCTTGTGAGGCTGCCTTTTTCCACATGTGGCCTTCATTTAGGGAAGAGAGAAACTGCGTTGATAAGGCACACCTGCTTATGAATGCCTTGGCTTGGAAGTGCCATCGATTCTGTTCACGTCCCATTGGCAAAAACTACCCACATGACATCCCTTACCCGCCCCTTGTGCCCTGCAGATGCAGGTAGGCTGGGAAATGTAGTTTAGTTATGTGCCCAGGAGGGAAAAGCAGGTTTGGTAAACACAGCCAGTCTTTGCCGCATGCACTACACATGTTATTCTACAACTTGTCCTTCCCCTCTCTTAAATTTGTTGTTTGCTTTTTAATGACATAAGAAGTACATGAAAACATGCTTGTTATATACAGCTAAATCAATGGAAACTTGTACTTCAATTGACAATAAAATCTGGACATCATTACATGTTGGTATAATGAATATATGTATTATGTGTTAAGTGATATACTACATGGAAAGCGCAGCATCATGCCAAGCACATGGCGAGAGCTTAATAATATTATCCCTCATTATCACTGTTGTTATTATTTTTACCAGCTGTAGGGCAGTCTCTTGAATGGATGAACCAGGATTTTTTTCAGCTTTCTTTTTTTAATCTCCTTTAAAAAATACTGCAGTAAACATTCTTATACACATATACTTTTTTAAAAATTTTATTTCAGAACATTATGGGGGTACAAATGTTTAGGTTACATATATTGCCTTTGCCCCACCCGAGTCAGAGCTACAAGCATGCCCATCCCCCAGACAGTGCACCGTACCCTTAGGTGTGAATATACCCAATGCCCCCCCCCACCTGCCCAGCACCCGATGAATGTTACTACCATATGTGCACATAAGTGTTGATCAATTAGTACCAATTTGATGGTGAGTACATGTGGTGCTTGTTTTCCATTCTTGTGATACTTAACTTAGTAGAATGGGCTCCAGCTCCATCCAGGATAATATAAGAGGTGCTAGCTCATCATCGTTTTTTGTGGCTTATAGGATGCCATGGTTTACATATACCACGTTTTATTAATCCACACATATACTTTTTATACTTGTGCTGCTACTTGGAAAGTTTCCTGAAAGTGGTCACAAAATATGTGAATTGTGAATTTTTGTGTATATTGCTACATTGTTTTCCAGAAAGCTTGTACCAATTTACAGTTCAACCAATGATAAATGACAGTGCCCATTTTCTATATCCTTGCTAACAACTTTTGTTATGTCATTGAATTTTTAAGTAGACTAAAATGTTTAAATTTATACTCCTAATCATTAGTGAGGTAGAGTATATTTTATGTATTTATTAGGGAATTGTATTTATTTTTTAAAAATTATCTGTTCATCCCCTTTGACTGATTTTCTATTGGTTGTCTTTTTCTTACCAATGTTTTGGAGCTCTTATTATATATCCTTTACTATTTGTGTTGTAAATATTTTCTCCTAGACTGTGGTTGTCTTTTAACTTTGATTTATATTTATATAGTTATTTTCTTTCCTATATAATCCTGAGTTTCATGTTATCCTTGGAAAACCCCTCCTCATGCCAAGATCATGAATGTAGTGTCCTATGTATTCTTCACTTAACTTTTATAATAGTTACCTTTGAATTTTATTTTAAATGTAATGTGAAACAGGTACCTAACTTAATTTTCCTCCAAATGAATAGCCAATTGTTCTAATAACATTTACTTAACGATCTCTATATATTTTAGTCTGTTTCTATGCTCTTAATTGTTTTTGATTAATCCATTTGCCTAATCTTAAGCTACTACCACACAGTTTTTATTGTAATAGCTTTTTGGTATATTTTAATATTTGATAAGAAAAGTCTCCTTCTTCATTCTTCTTTTTCAAAAGTTTCTTAGAAGTTTTTCCAAATTTACTCTTTCTAGTAAAATTTAGAATTATCTTGTCAAGTTCCCTAAAAAATTCTTGAAGACTCTGAGTATGTGGATGAATCTAGGGAGGGCTGACATCTTTGCAATAAGGTGTCTTCTCCCCCATGCACACAATATGCTTCGCCAGTGACACAGGTCTTTTTGTACATCCTGAAATAAAATCCTAGTTTATTTTTCTTTTCTATAAAGGTTGCATACATTTCTTTCAAAATTTACAGTTATTTTCTATTTTTTGACACCACCTAAATGGGATCAATATCACAGCGATTTGAATACATAGAGACCTCTAAAATGTGCATGATGGAAAGAAAAATGGTCAAACTATATGAACAAAAAATTCACAGAAGCTCAGCTTCCCTCGTAGTCAGGGAAAAATAAACTGTGACATAATTTTTCTCTATCAGCCTGTTGAAAAACAGGGAGAAAGAAACAAAAACAAAAACAAAAATCCCTCCTGATACCTGCTGTGAGTGGGATCTGAGGAAAGGTCACCCAGCACAGCTTTGAAGGATACTTGACAGCACCCGTACAAATTCAGGCTGCACATGTCTTTGACGTAGAAATCCCTCTTCTGGGTTTCACCTAGAGAAACACCCACGACGTACAATGTGGTCAGTCATGTTCATTGCTCCACTACTGCACATATCTAAGTCTGAAAAGTAAATGTTTTGCTTTAAGTAGTTAGCGGTGTTCTATGACGATGGGAAAATGGAAGCAAAGCTGTTAAGATATTCGATTAAAGTCATGAAAAAAGTCAGTTCTCCTTCGTCTTGTCTCTCTCCCTAACTGCTGAATTACATATTTTCTGTTTATTAAGAGAGTTGTCTCGAAAAAATACTTAACAGTTCACTCTCAAATGCTCTATTATGAGCATCTCGTATTTTAATAATAAAAATTAATTTAAAAACAGGGCAAGTCCCACGTGTATTTTGATATAGATCAAAGATATCAACCAAGGGAATGTTGTAAGATCTCATGCTGATTTTTCCAGATTTGTACCTTTGCTTAACTGTTTAAATAACTAAGCAAACACAGAACTTAAGCTGCCTTCTAATTTGCCTGCTAGACAAGACCCTACTGTCCCTGCCCAGCCTCACTTCCTGCTCCTTGTGAGCACAAACTCTGAGTCCTGCTCTCTTTGGCTCCTGCCCCCCAGGCTGACTTGGGTCCCGCCTCCCTGAAACCCTCTCTAGACCCCACTCACTCAGCCACCACACCTCTGAACTCTGGACACACTGAGGGGGCACACGACACAATGTGTGCTCTCCCTGCTCCCCTGCGTTTGCTTTGTCCCCTTGCCCCTAGACCATGGGATTCTTTTGTCTCCCCTTAGGGTAGGGCTGGCCTGGGGACTTAGCACTTTTGGGCATGTGGGAAATTATAGGAGAAGCTGTATTTCTAATATGATGTGTAGTTTCTTAAGTGCTTTGTATCTCTTGTAGGTGGCAAAGAAACACAGCACGATGTTTGGAAATATAATTCTTCAATCAACAAATGGATTCAGATTGAGTATTTAAACATCGGCCGCTGGAGGCATAAGATGGTGGTGTTGGGCGGCAAGGTCTACGTGATCGGCGGTTTCGACGGCTTACAGAGGATCAACAACGTGGAGACCTACGACCCCTTCCACAATTGCTGGTCAGAGGTACAGGAGGTTATTTCTATGAGCAACTCTGCTAACTTATTACTTCAAAGCTTTAAAAAGAGGTGCATACCGGCAGCCTGCTTTCTGATAGCTCTGCTCCCACGGAGAACATTTTTGGTGGCTCTGAGCTTCCATCCTCCTGGGAACCATCGCTTCAGTATTGTCGATCAAGTCACAGAAGCAACGTCCCTCCAATTGGTGAAGCTCTGTGTGGGCACCTGTCCTATCCTGGCCAGGATCCTAGATGTGGAGGGGAGGCTCACCCTGCCCTTAGTCGGTAGATCTCTTGGGTCACATGTCTTGCCCCCAGTCTTGTCTCCTCAGATGCCCTCTCGCCTATTCTTCTCCACACCAGACACATAGGGATCCTTTTACTACACTGCTTGTAAACCCAGAGTCATTTGGTCATATGTAGAAGTCAGCCCTTATTTATTTTCCCATTAACGATGAACCATTTACATGCCTACAGGCAAGACTTTAGCAATGTGAGCTCAGGTATATATAATACCTAGGAAAATACAACCAACCTCAACTCTTGTATTTCCAGGTTATGCCCAATTTCAAATTTTCTTTCTCCTTATCAGATCTTAAATCAGAGCATATTCCAGCTTTGCGGAGTATAAAACATGGTCATTGTAGGTGCAAGCAAAGGTAGCCAGGTCACCACGACATCCAGCCAAGACCTGTCAGCCTGAAAAGTGCTGTAAAGGGAAACCTTAACATGTATGGGGGATATTTCCAAGATCTTCTCAAATCGTGCAGTCCCATCACAGAGTTGCTAAAAGGCGCAACCATGTAAACAGGCGAGAGCCTCTTGGAAGTCCCCTTTAGCGTCCTGGGGTTCACAGGGTGGAAGTACAAGTCTGGCTTAATCTCAAAATCTGCAATGTTGCCCCAGAATGGGAGAGACTGCTTACTTGTGGCCACCTTAAACCCTTATACCAGCTCTTCTTGCTAGATATAAGCATCAAGGACAATTAACACTGGTACGTAGTAGGCACTCAGTAAACATTTTTTGAATGAATGAGCACATGAATGAATAAGAATAATGAATATGCATGTTTGAAAAATCTTTTTCTTTCACACTGGCTGGTTTTGTCCATGTAAACACTTATTCCTGCCTATGTTCCTCCTGCCCTGAGAGCTGGACTCTAGGCAAGGGTGGAACATCCCAACACATAGCCTGCTCTAGCCTGCCTGGAGCCTGGAGGGAGGGTGGGAAATTTGTGCTTTGATTCTGTCTGCATCTGAAGGGAAGTTGAGCCCATGGCCTTGCAACTTCAAGCAAAGGCTGCCAGGTCTGTGTCCCCAGGCTCTGGCCTGTGTCCTGTGAGCTTCTGCAGCAACGTGGGCAGCATGACTGATAGCTTTTTCTTCTGTCCCGTGCCCCTGCAGGCCTCGCCCCTCCTCGTCCATGTCAGTTCCTTTGCGGCCACCAGCCATAAGAAGAAGCTGTATGTGATTGGGGGAGGGCCCAATGGGAAACTGGCCACGGACAAGACTCAGTGTTATGACCCTTTGACCAATAAGTGGAGTTTAAAGTCGGCCATGCCGGTGGAGGCTAAGTGCATCAATGCAGTGAGTTTCCGGGACCACATCTATGTCGTTGGTGAGTGATGGCTTCTTATTTATCTGAGTATCTTAGAACCTGGTTAGGACCTGGCTGTGGAACTTAAAGGGTGGTGTGAGGTGGCTCCAGTACTGGCAACTTGCTGCCCCCAAGGATCCACTCTGGTTTTCTGGAGAGTCATCAATCTACTACTTCTCTTGGCAAGGTGGTAGACTTGACCTAACTGGAGGTAGAATTTTAGTGGTTAATGGGGAAGAAACCAGAGAAGTGCCATCATGTTTCCTCTTCCCCTTCAGGTGGGGCCATGCGGGCACTGTATGCCTACAGCCCTCTGGAAGACAGCTGGTGCCTGGTGACGCAGCTCAGCCACGAGCGGGCCAGCTGCGGCATCGCGCCCTGCAACAACAGGCTCTACATCACAGGCGGGCGGGACGAGAAGAACGAGGTCATCGCCACGGTGCTGTGCTGGGACCCTGAGGCCCAGAAACTGACCGAGGAGTGCGTCCTGCCTCGGGGGGTGTCACACCACGGCAGCGTCACCATCAGGAAGTCCTACACCCATATCCGGAGGATCGTGCCCGGAGCAGTGTCTGTCTGACTGTGGGAAGGGAACGTGGAGAGTGCACCTGGGCGACCCTTAGCGCTCGGTCCTCACCTTTCGCCCTGTCCAGTCCCACTTCAGGCAGCAGGCTCAGCCTGAGTTTGAGGCCACATGTCTGCGGCTCACCTTCGGGCACCTTGGAAGTCACAGCTTTGGGACACTTGAGACCAGCCAGGAAAGTTTTTGTGACCTACCTCAGGAGGGAAGGTGGGAAGAAGAGTAATATTTAACATTTAGGACACACCTGCCCTATGCCAGGTTCTGTGCCAGGCACTGCTGTGTATCAGTTCGTTTAACCATCATAAGGACCTGGCGACTGGGTGTGATCACTCATGTTTCAGGCGAGGAAACTGAGTTTCAGAGAGGCTAAGTGTCTTGCCCCAGGCCACTCAGATAGCAAGTAGCTAAGCCAGGAATCCAAACCCAGGTTTTTCAGCTTCACAGTCGGTGCCTTTCCCATCATGCTGCCTGTCTCACACCAGGACACACAAACACAAACACAAAAAACCTGGTTCATTTCTTGTTCTGGCAAGTCTGCTAAAAGATTTCACTCAGCAAGGCAGGAAATAAAGGTGGTTTTTTTTTCTTCTTTTTTTTTTCCTTTCTTTTATATTTAAACCAAGGATCCTTTTGGGCTCCTTATCAAGAGCATCTCATAGTTTCTTCTACTTGACAGGTCTGGGGGGATGCGTTTGGGAAGGCCTGTTTGCTTTGAAAGAGATGAAAGACTTGTTTTCTATTCTCCTCCTATCAGGAGCCTATATATTTTATATCACAGGATGGCCCATTTTGGACTATTACCATCACTGCCAGATAGAATTGTACCTTCAGCACAGCCTGGTGCCCTGGCCTCCTAATGTCTAACAGTTGTGTTGTAATGTAGAAAAGAGGTTTCAAGAGACTCAAACTATTGTTTTATTTTTTAAAAACTCAACATCTCAACACTGCTGGCCACTGCAGGAATGATGCACTCTTCTTGATGTTATACTGTCTAGTTTTTAGACAGTAATTTGGATCCAGATTCCTGAGACCACGCCCCCCTCCTGAAACCTTAGTTTTCAGGACTTTTGTAAGCCCTTCTACTTGGTTTTTAGATCAATGTGGTTCAACCGTGACTCAAAGAACAGAGTCTGTCCTTTGCTCTGAGAGGTAGAGCTTCTACATGAGCTCACTGGAAATTCATTCTAATCCCCAAGTTGGAGAAACAGGTTAAGAGATCCTGTTTCATATGCTGTGTTTAAAAAGCAACAATGATAACAACATAGTAATTGCATTACCCAATGTACTTTATTTTCATCATATGACTTCAGTTCTCTTTATAGAGCTGATTTCATGTCCAATGTGGCATATTGTGCTTGTACTTCCCAGCAGTTTGGGAAGTTAGAGGTATCAGAGTTGATAGTGAATTTAATTTTCATAAAAAAGTTATGGTTAGAAGAAGCTAATGTTCAAAACAGATTTTTTAAAAAACTTGGAAAATTACAAGTGAGATTTCTGTTTATGCCTAGATTGTTGAGGATAAGTACAAACGTCTGTTAGTGTGTAAAAGGCTCTATGCCTTAGGGTCAGATATGAAAGTTCAGCTCCCTGCTAGGAAGAGTAAGACGGGGCAATACAAACATATTTGTGGAAATTTAAAACACACTATCACTTACTCATGAGCACTAATAACCTTAACGAAGCTCTCAACTGAAACAATTTAATTTAATTGAATTCAGCAAACATTCATGGAGTTCTTTATGTTTGTGAAGTATTGAGGACACCGATGAATGACAAATCTCCATGCTAGAGACATTCAATATGGGTAAATAAGCCACCAGTCAATATTCTCATTTTTCTTTTCTTCGTTTTAGCTAAAAATGAGATGCATATGAAGTTATGAGGATATATCCGAGTCTCGATTGCCTTGCAAGGGGTCTCCGTGGGAAGCCGTGCACTTAGGTCAATTAGTGGCCATTGCTTACATTTGTGTCTTTGAGGTTGCTGTTAGAACCGCTTGTGAACTACAGGCAAAATCAGTCTATTCCAAAGACTATTTCAGGGAGGAACTTCGAAAGAGGAAATCCAATGACAACATCATTGGCATACACAGAAAGCCTCCCCTCACAAACAGAGTGCTCCTTACCAGGGAGTGGATGGCAGTCCTTTGATAAGAGCAATCAGTAAACTTAGAGACCATCAGTGGGTAAACCCTATGCTGGGCAAGTGAAGATTGAGGATCTCTGTGACTAAAACCTGATTGTAAATATAGGACCCAAGTTTCAGGACTAGTTCAGAATACCTAAATGACTACAAGGGAAAGACTCTTTATGAATTTTACAATACCAGATATGCAGGTGAATTGTGGCAAAATCTCAGGTAGCTGGCATTCAAGAAATTCAAGAGATTCCTAATAAAGGCATGGGGGTAGAGAACAGAACTTCTAGATTAAAATCTAGGGTTCTGCACTTGAAGTTGCCAGTCTAGCTTTTAGGGAAAAAAATGTTTAAATAACTTCGGGGAAACTTTAGATGTATAGTCACCAGGGTTTAATCTTCTAGGCACTAGCCAGAGATGGGAGCTCTCAAAACCTAATTTCCATTCCAAGATAACGAAACAAAAACACAAGTTTGCAGCACGTTAACTGTTATAACCCATGCCACCAGTAGGGGGACAGCCAAGGTGGGAATAACCCAGAGAAAAAGAACCCTAGGACTCAGGCAGGGCATGGTGGGATGTTCTGGCACAGCAGAGTGGATGGTGAGGCAGGTCCTATGAGTGGGCTGGGAAGAAGAGGACAGGGTAGGAGGAGGAGATCAAGTTCTAAGGATGCAGGTCTGGAAAATGATATCAGGCGCTGGAGTTTGTGAGCTGGACTCCAAGAAGAGTAAGGGAGAATGAGGAACAGGGGTGTCCCAGGTAAGAAAATGAAGGAGCCCGCTTCTTAGAAGGGAGGCACAAGTTAGACTAGGATTAGCAGTTGGGCCAATTTGCTGTGGGACTTCTGAGCTGGTTGGCTGGGTCTCCTACCCTAGAGAGAATGAGGCCCAGAGTCTTTGAGGGAACCTGCAGATGAGGTTAAGGGACCCCAGTTGCCAAGGCTGGTCTGAAACAGCCAGAAAGCTAAGTTCAGCAAAACACCAACAGATAAATGTTCTCTTCTTAGCCTTCATCCATTCTGGTCTCAATGGCTTTAGGAAACATATACATGCACACACAGTGCCCTTGAACGCAGAGCAAACCGTGCTTTGAGGGAAATACAAATATAATTTTCTAATAGCTATACAAGCATAGCTTAGCTACTTACAAAAGTCCTTGAGGCACTATCGTTAGTTATTTACTTATCCTGCTTTATTTTGATTCATTATTATTTTTTGAGACAGGGTCTCTGTCACCCAGGTTGGAGTGCAGAGGCACCACCACAGCTTGTTGCATACAACCTCAAGCTCCTGGGCTTAAGCAATCCTTCTGCCTCAGCCTCCAGAGCAGCTGGGACTATAGGCATGTGCCACCACACCTGGCTAGTTTTAAATTTTTTGTAGAGACAGGGTCTTGATATGTTGCTCAGGCTGGTCTCGAACTCTTGGCCTCAGGTGATCCTCCTGCCTTGGCCTCCCAAAGTGCTGGGATTACAGGTGTGAGCCACTGCGCCCAGCCTATCCTGCTTTATTTTGAAAAATAAAAGTACTTGATAGAGTTTTTAACGTGGTTAAACATCACAGAAATGTCTTATAGAAGTCCTAATGTGGGGTTGCAAATCATTTTTCCCTTAATATCTGGGTGTTGTATTAGATCTCGTAATTTGAAGTCACAAAAATCCACATATGTCTCAAATCTGGCTACTGCAAAACCAGTTTTGACAGTCATATTTTCATATTTATAGGTATAAATAGTCAACACTTGGTGAACCAAATCTTTAAGCATTTTGGTTACTGGATGTATTTTTTTAAGTGATCAAACTAAGGATATTGTTATAGATTTAAAAAATCCATAGAAATAAAGTTTTTATTTATTCAATAAAATATGTATGGAATGGATAAAAATATATCATATACATCACTAGGTAAATTTTTATTTGCTGGTTTTGGTTGGTATAAGTAAATGGTGTCTGAATAGAAATTAACTTAGGAGGTGGAAATTTAAAGCATTTCAGTTGGTTCAAGGGATTTTAGATAAATTCATGGGTTAAAATTCACCAGGTTTGGTATATAGAATGTCAAACAGCACACAGTTTTTCCCTCCTTAAAGCCACATTGCCTCTCTGAGCAAGTGTTTAATCAACCCACTTGCAAACTGTGTGATGCTCATCCTGCCTGGCCTCATCCCCTTCTTACAGGAGGCCCCTTACAGCAATGATTCCCAACCCTTTTGGCACCAGGGACTGGTGTCATCAAGACAATTTTTCCATGGACAGTGAAAGGGGGGGGCGATGGGGAAGTTTCGGGATGATTCAAGCACATTACATTTATTGTGCAGTCAAATCTCTCGCTAACAATAATCTGTATTTACAGCCGCTCCCCAGCACTAGCATCACTGCCTCAGCTCCCCCTCAGATCATCAGGCATTAGATTCTCACAAGAAGCACGAAACCTAGATCCCTCGCATGTGCAGTTTACAGAAGGGTTCATGCTCCTGTGAGAATCTAATGCTGCTGCTGATCTGACAGGAGGTAGAGCTCAGGCGGTGATGTGATGGGGAGTGGCTATAAATATAGATGAAGCTTTGCTTGCTTACTGGCCGCTCATCTCCTGCTATGTGGCCCAATTCCTAACAGGCCATGGACTGGTACCTGTCCGTGGCCCAGGGGTTGGGGGCCACGACCTTAGAGGGCTCTGAACCCTGGTCTGGCCTCTTAGCCCGGCCTCCACCAATGCTCCCTGTGTTGTCTCTGAAGCCCTCACCGACCTGTGCTTCTCAAATCAGGGCATGTGCAACTTGGAATATGAGACAGAGCTTTGATCACGGGAACACTTATCATCAATTTTGTTTGTTTTGGATTATGGTGTAAAGGTCCTGTG